CAGCAGGTTAAACATCGATTTGTGAATGGAGGGAAGCATGATGACCACTGAGAGCAGCGGTCTCCCACTGTTTCTGTTCACACACACACACACACACACACACGCACATGCACACGCACACACGCACACACACACACACACACACACACACACACACACACACACACACACACACACACACACACACACACACACCACTATTTCACACAACCAAAACTAACATCTAACATGAAAGAAACTGAACTAAATGGCCTAATTCATGCATGTGTGTGGGTGTGAGTGTATATTTATGTCGATGGTAAAACCTTAATCCTGACATCTTGTGTTCCAAAATACTTTTTCAAGATTACTCAGCCAGGTTTCTCTGCAAAAGTTATTTTATATGAATGCCCTCCATTCACATTACCTCCCTACACTTCCGTATTGGATGTTGAATGCTGTACGTATTGATCATCATGCGTTCAGAACTCAACGCTTTAAGCTGATGTAATTGAAGTTGAGTCGACAGTTTCATTATAGTGTTACATTATAAAAGACAGAACACGTTCACATTGTTTAAAGGGATTTTAAAGATTAGAGCAGCTTGCAAATAAATAAATAAATCTGAAGTGGCACACCTCTCTGGAGGTGTGGGTGAAAGTGACCCCTCTTGACTTTTTCCCGCCTCTGAAGAAGTCAGAAAAAAGCTTCCCAAAACAGAGGATTGGAGACGGCGGGGCTTGCTATTCACCAGTCAAAGGGAAAAAAAGAGCAATGAACGAGTGACTGGTTGGGTGAATGAGAGGCGGGCTGGAGCTAAGAGGAGCTCTGGCTGTGTTGCAGCTTCAGAGGTTAACTCGGCTTCTTCAAGAGGGATGAAAAGGTGGATGGGGGGTGGTGAAGAGGAGGAGGAAAAAACGGATTGAGCTTTAAAGAGGAGGACCCCCTGCGCCTGGGGCGGGATCAGTCAGGATGATTTATTAGAAGGAGCGAGCGAGAGAGAGAGAGAGAGAGAGGCGTTTGCGGGCCTCAGAAAGCTGCAGCGCAAACGCGGCATTGAAAAGTGCTGATGTGTACGACACGGGCATGCGTGGGTATCCCCATATGCAGGGCCCCAAACAGCTGGCACATATACGCTTCATAAAAACACAAAAACGTATTTCATTCATGAGCACATTTATGCTCTCGTTAGAATCAAAATGTACAAAATCCTTTACTTTTAAAGATGCACCACAATAATGCGCAAATAGACTTAGTGTTGCATCTTTTTTGTATCTTAATGGCTTAAAGAATAATTTCCTGACGCCTTCAGTACGAGGCGCCCTCAGTCGATTGTCCCCTCATATAATCCACTCATTTTCTTCCACTCTCCGCAGAGGCCTGCAGTAAACCGGCCTTTGAGGAGCAGAATGGCTGCACATGGCGCTGAAGGCACCGCTTTATCTCCAAGTGCCTGGTCACAGCGTTGCACTAGTTTGCTCACACTGGAGAGAGGAGGAGGAGTGTGTGTTGTGTGTGTGCGCATAAAAGAGAAACATTAAACGTCATGCAGTGCGGTCAGAGAGTAAACAGTGTTGGGACTGTAATCTCTTTTTAGGGAGGAAAATGGGGCTGTTGTGTCTTTAAGAGGGGATGCTGCTGGTCCCTCATCGCAGCTGCCGTCGTGTGTGTGTGTGCGCGCGCGCGTGTCTGTGTGTGACACAGAGGACAGCGGAGATTCATTACTTAAGCAGTACAATGGACATTTATCACCCCGTGGTGTTATTCAAATTCAGTACCAAGGAGGACCTTCTCCAGTCCTCTCTCCGCCCTGCGTCGCAGCCGCAGCGCTGATTGTTGGAGCGGCGCAGAGAAAAGCGCCGGGAGGGCAGAAAGGCGCTCTGTCAGTCAGTACGGGAGAGGAGGAAGGAGCGTCCGTCCGAAGGAGCTGCTCTCCGCTTCTGCATCGTCTTCTCCGTTTTATACCATTTTTCCTCCCATCAGAGTCAGCTCGCTGTGAGGGGGTGTTTGGACGGAGCGCGGTGTGGGAACACAACCAAGGACGCACCAACGGGAACTAAAAGGGGGGTTTCCTTCGTCTTCTTTCATGTTTTCTTTTATTTTTTACAAAAAAATCTTGTTTTCGTCAGCACAGGGAAGACCACAGCATCTATTGAACCCGGAGGGGGATTTTTCATTAATTTAACAAGCGTGGAAAGCCATTGTGCAGCTTAAGGCACCAGAACTGAAGAGTTTTTCCTTAAATCGATGACTCAAGCAGGTGCAGAAATGGCGTTCTTCTCTTTTCGGACTTTAAGGCGAAATAATTCAGATTTCTTTTTCAGACACTTTAAAACCAAGACGTGAATTACTTTTTTAAATTTGATCTGAAAGGCCTGAGCTCCAACACATGAAAAAGGGGGAGCAATTAGGAAAGATTATGCGTAAATGTCAGAAAAGAAGTGAAGAATATCCACTTATATGGCGTCTAAACACGTTTCCTTTTAAAGAACTTCTTTAGCTGATACTTATTTGCGGGGATTTTGGTGAAAGTGCACTACAGGCGTTGGAAAAACACAATTTTATAAAAGCAAAATGCATTGCTGAGCAGGGAGAGGAATAATGCACAGAGCTGCAACTCTTCCTGTGGCAGCAGGAAGGAGGGAAAAAAGAGGAAAGAAAACAGTTTTCTGTGTCAGCCGCTATACTGTCAGGGGACGTGGAGGCAGCCGCAGCAGGTGCACGCAGATGGGCCCGTCTAATAACTGGCGGTGCGATTTAAATACTCAGCTTTCATTGCTCTTTTCATCTCAACAGAGGATATGCACAGAGTCTGTCGCGACTGATTGTCCAAACGCAATTCTTGCGTAAAAATCCAATTCAGACCCCAAGAATTGTGTATGGACATCTGTTGCTGCAGGTTCACATTCATCCAAAACAATAATAATTTAAAAAAGGCGCATGGACGAGAGCCCTCCAGGCCTCAGAAGGTCACCTGGAAGGCCTTTTAGTGTCGGGTTGTTTATTGCAGGTAAGGATTAAATCCGGTTTGCATGATGGTGCTGATGAAGAGACGAGGGGCTGGAATAATAAAAGTGGAGGAAAAAACTCATTCTGCCTCAGATGTGTTTTTTGGAGGATGTTTCCCCGATTAATATTTACGCCTAGTCGAAGATTTAATGAGGATTGTTTGTTTTAAAAGGTAAAAATCGACTGGAGGCATCGATGAATCGACGGAATTTGGCGAATAGTGGGAGGCGGTGAGTTTAGGGCTCGCGGTGAGGCCTGCACACGGCACGGAGACGCACGACGTGGATGAGACGAGCCAGAGGCTGGGTCAGTCTCCACAGAGGAGGGAAAACGGAGGAAAACAGAATCAGATAAGATTATTGGCCTAATTCACCAGAAAATTTGAACTGGTTTATTATAAAGTCTAATTAATCCAGGGTGAGAACAGAATAAAAACAATGTATTAAAATATGCAACATTTTTGGGAGAGGTAAACCAAACCCTGACCTCGTTAACGAATCACGTGACTTTGTACTTTATTTAAAAGATGAAAAATAATCTTACATGTTCCTATTTCAAAGGATTTTTAAAATCACTAATATAAGATGGTTACAGTTGTGTAGCCATATATTATAATCTATAAATCATGTGTGTTATTAATCTTTAGTTAGGAAAATTCAATGTAAACAGTTTCTTCCAAAAATTACTTTTATGATTTTTTCTCATCTCTCTCTCTCTCACACACACACACACACACACACACACACACACACACACACACACACACACACACACACACAGCCTGACTAGTAGTATATGATATTTGCTCTTGCAGGACTTAGCCAGTACCCAATCAAACTTCTATCTTTATATTCAGTATAAATTTTGCCATTTGAGGCACTAGAAATGAAAACAATAATGTGAACAAATTAAATGTGTACAGATAAATGCAATAACCAAGATGAACTTTTTTTTAAATATTTGTAATTCATATCTAAATATTTGGATATATTAAAATATGATCACGAACTTTGTGTTAACAGAAAATAAAACCCGAAAAAATATTAGAATGTATAAACAAATTATAAGTGATTATTTTAATGACTTGTTGCATAAAATAATCCAAGAAAATAGAAACATAATAAAAGCTCTAATTCATTCCAATATAAATGATAGCTTTCATAAGAAAAGGTGTAGTAATTTAAAAAAAAGGAAGTTAAACCCAAAAATAATAAAAACATTAGAAAAAAAGCATTTGGGTATTATGTTATCAAGGTAGTTTCATCAAAGCATCCTTATTGAAGCTTACATTTTAATTAGTTACAGTTACTTTGTGGTTGTTTAGTCTAGTGTTGTGAACTCTGCATGTATTTTTATGATGGGGGGGGGGGGCACATTTCTAATGAACAGCTGCACAAACTGCACCTAAATAAACACGTCATGTGGTCATTTTGGTTAGTTATAGAAACTGAAAGGGAAAATTGTGCATTTTTTAAACAGGGTTTAACCTGCAGACAAGTGTGATCCCCCCCCCCCCCCCCCCCCCCACACACACACACACACTGCAACACTTTCTCTCCTCCTCATTAGCATTTCCTTTCTGCTGGCCTTTATAGGCCGGTTTCCCGTTGCAAATCGGACTCCACAACCGAGAAAAGGTTTTAGGTCGCCTTGGGCATTCAGGGGAGGGCAGCCCGGAGGCTAGACCTCGACCTCCCGCAGTGGTCCTGTAGGTCCGCCCCCCCTCTCTTCCACCACACAGCTACTGGAAGGTAAAATCTCCCCTAATCATCCTAAAACTGCTGCGTGATCACAGAGCTGGGCTTAAATCAATCTCTCATAAGCTGTTAAAATCTCCAGACATGATGGGAAACCTTCACTGATCTAAATAAAACGTGTGACAGGAAACAACACTTGGTGTTTTGTCATTTATATAAATATTATGTCTGTGTTACTTCATAATCTACATTCTGTCGTTATGCGACTAAAAACGAAAATAAAATAAGTTACAAAAATTACAAATGTACCATCAATGGCATAAAAATGTAATTTTTTTATTTTCATAGAATGAAAAAGAAAAAAAAATCACAATTTTTGCTTGAAATTAAAAACAAAATAAAAAAATCTAACACGCTTTAAGATGTAATTTCAATTAGATATAAATTAACAGGCCTTTTTGTCATTAAAGTCACATAAGTGGAAAAAGGAAGGCGAAATGTATATTAATGAGGGCAGCATTCCACTTCTGAAACTGCACCCTACTTCTGTAAAAAAAGAACCAATGAACATCTCTACTTTATCAGGCCAAAAAAGTGACCCATCTACAAAAGGTTTAACAGCTACAAAGTTATGCATAATGATGTTCCTTATGAGATTAACACACAGCACACGGGGGTGTTCTTAATTAAAATCAAAGCTTCTCTTCAATCTGATCAAAAAATATCACAATATCCGTTTCCTCCTCATCCCTGCTGGACACCATCAGCTGCATCAGTGAGACGATGTGGACACGCCATCCAATGAGGAGGGTTGTAGTTGGGATGTGAAAACGAGGAGGGAGGGGGCCTCGGGATGCTAAGAGAAGCTCGGAACTGTTAAATATACGTTACGTGTGTGTTTATCCTCCATGAAGAGTAGAAATAAACACAATGTTGTCTTTGTCCTGTATCTGGTAGTCCAGTTCCCCCTTAAACACACAAAAATACACAAGTGCAAGAAAAACGTGAAATTATTTGCAATAATGCAATTTCCCCACACTGTTAAATTTGCAGCTTTATTCTGGTCAGTGACAAACTTTTTGGGTTTGATTATACGCTGCCAGGTGTTAAGTGTGTGTGTGTGTGTGTAAACACACGTTCATACAAGCCTCTGAGAACAAAAATGTTCTGAAGCTGCTAATATGGAGCAATAACTCAGAAAGAAATGGTCATCGCTCTATGTTCACGCATGCAGATTTAGTTAGGCGCCTGATCTGAAGTCCTGAGACATCAGGCAGATATGTGATGTAAGTAGAGTTAAACACGCCCCCTTCCACACTGTCTGACAGTGAACGTGACTTCCAGTGCTCACCATCAGCTCCCAGTCTGCATCGTTGATAAGCACCAGAATCCCAGGCCTCCTGTGGGAAAACACACCACTTCCAGTCACCAAAACAACACACACACAGATTTAAAAAAAGGCTAAAATGCATGATTTATTATCCCATTTATTCTTTCTATTTCAATATATTTGTCCATGTATATCTGAGTAAAAAACATGTTAAATATATATTATGAAATGAAGACATGTGGTTTAAGACCGAGTTTTAAATCCAAATGATCACAACCTACTGCTGGAAATTAAAAAAATGTCTAAAAAAGTGGGAATAAAATAGAAAATTATTAAATGTGACATTTTGTGTTTGCTTCTTTTGTTTATGATGAAATTGCACACACACAAAACAAACATGTTAAATTATTATTTTACTTAACAGCTCTTGAGATTAATAAAGTAGATCACCATATTGTTGTAAATATTTTGTGTGTGTGTGTACATCATAAACAAGTGGGGAAATTCACTCTGCTGCTATTAATGAAATCTAAGTTTAAGTTCTCTTCAAATATGAGTAAAGGGCTTTCCGAGCTGCGTTCCTACGATAAACGTTTAAAAAAACCTACACACACACGCACACACACACATATATATATATATGTGTGTCATTTTTCTTTAAATGGCAACTAACTTGTTCAATGAAGGAAAAAAATGTTATTGGAAATTTACGTAGTTTAAAAGACAACAATAACAAGTCCAGGGTAATGAAGCACATGGAGGGTGCAATTTTTAAACTGACACTTGTGTTTATTTCTAAAAGAGGTGCAGCAGAGATAATCCTGGAGGCAGACGCTGATGCCTCTCAGAGTGGTTTTATCCACATCACACACCGGAGCTCTGACGTCAGCGCGTGGGAAGACCAACCTGCATGAGGTTAAAGGCTCAGAGGAAAACAACAACATGAAATCAAGGATGTACACTGCAAACAGCTAATTGCTTTTTAGAAAAAAGAGGAAAACAAAATGTTTAGGAGACATAAGGCACACACACACGTATGATATTTAAGGTTTTCTAGGTAGGCCGTTATCTGCTGCATTCATCGGCTAGATGGAGCTATAAATAGTCACGGACAAAGGTGGCTGTAAAGTCAGCGGTGAGCTCTGAACACACACACACACACACACACACACACACACACACACACACACACACACACACACACACACACACACACACATCTGGCTGAGATCGACATGAGAGAAAGACGAGTTATTAGTCATTTTAACTGAAGGGCAAAAAAACACTTCAAAGTCAACAAAAAAGGAAGTGTTTATGTTTTTTGTGGCGGTGGAGTGTGTGACACGCTCTTTAGGATCAAGTGTGTGTCAAGTGCACTCACACAGACTGTCCCTGAACAAAAAGCTCGGGCCGTTCCTTCAGCAGGTTCTGTTGGATCCAAACCAGCAGCTGCTTCATGTCCCCTGCAAAACACACACACACACACACACACACACACACACACACACACACACACACACACACACACACACACACACACACACACACACACACACACACACACACACACACACAACAAAATGTTCCTTAGATTTTTAGTAAAAGGCAATTTTTAAAATAAAAATCTGAATTCCTCATTTGTAAAAAAAAGATGCACACCGTCATATAGTGGCTACATGACTAGATTTATGTCTTACACACACACACACACACACACACACACACACACACACACACACACACACACACACAGACAACAGAGGTCACAGGTCAGGGGTTAAGGGTCAAGGTGCATGATTCCAGCCTCCCGGTCGATGTGACGCGACAGAGGCACCAGGTGGGACAGGGGGGTGCACCAATGTGTGTATCTGCGTATGTATATTTATGAGTGTGTGTTTGGGGGTGAAGGGGTGGGGGTGGGGCTGTTGACTGATACCATCGAACAGCAACGTTTTTCACCTTGAGTTCAAAACACTATCAGCTGCTTTTACTTTTAAACATTCAAACGCCAATAAAAAATACATTCTGGACCGTTTTTGATTTGAGCTAAAAAAATAAATCAAATATTGAACCCAAAGTAACAATACATTTCTTGTTTTTTTTACTTGTTTTAATCAAAACAAACAATACAATAATGCACTAAAGCACCTTTTAGTTGGGATGATTCTGCCTGAGATGATGCTGGATACGAGTCTGACCTCTTCAACAATCAGACTGACCTTGTTCCAGCAATGGCTGAGCTGGATCAGACCGATCTGAGCCACAAAGGCCACCAAAAGGCAGACTTTAAAACACATCCTCACCAAAACGTACACAAAATGTATAGCAACCCTGTAAGAACCTTTAAGTGTGTGTATTGGTGTGTTTTTTATATGAAAGGTGTGTGTAGTCAGAGAAATGAAAGGGGACAAAAACACACCAGTTTAAGGTTATCTTGTTAGTTTTCAGAAAGCGTGTAATCACAACCATCTAAGGACGACGATTAAATCAGCGTCTCGTGATCAAACCTGACGGCAGGTCTGCAGACGCAGGTAGCTGCGCGCGCACACATACACACACACACACCATCAGCATCATATCACAGAACCGGCCTTCTTGACCTCTTCACCCGGGCAAAGAAGATGAAGAAGATGGACATTTAGAGAAAAGGAGAGATCGTTCTGATCCAGGTGTGACAACTGTTCAGTTTAAATGAAGATTTCACAAAATACATTATAAAACACAAAAGATCCAGGGTGTATCAAGGGAATTTACAAGAGATGAACCGATTCTGGTTTAAGGGCCGACACCGATTCCTGATTGTTTTGCGGCGCTGACCCGCTGATAAAGATCTGATAAATCTCAAGATAGAAAAAGGCTGTATTCATCTCCACGGGGGACTGGTTGGGTCACAGCACTCCTAAAAAACGTTACAGGTAAAAAACAAATGAAGATGAAATACACGAAAAGATACAAATGCATCCGTTACAGCAGAAAAAAAAGGTAACAGTTAACCTGACGTGATTTTTTAAAGAAATATAATGAAGGAAATTTGTTTCTTGATTTCTCATTAAAATTATAATTGTGTGAATCTAGAAGTAAAACATCCCACAGGGAAGATCTGTTACTGCTTACATGAATTAAAGCTTAAAGGGACTTTTCGGACTTTTGAATTTTTATGCTCGCGATTGCCCCCTCAGGCCAAAAGCGTAATGGCAGCTTCAATAGGAGGCTCGTGCACGAGGCGTGCATGCTGTACGTGCACACTCCTTAACGAAAATAACAGCTGAGACAGTCCTGTGTGTGTGTGTGGCCCGGAGGACAGAAGAGCACAGAAAATTAATAAAAATAATGTGCATCTGTCTCTGCAGCTGCACTTTCTCATCGGCCGGTCGAACGTGCAGTGTGTGTGTGTGTGTGGCCCGGAGAACAGAGGACAAGAGAACGTGCAGCTAATTAATAAAATAACTTGGTTCTGTACCTTTCTCTTCAGCACAGCCGACAAAGGTTTATGATGGGTCAGTCTTCCTGCATGCTCAGATCATTCCCTTCCCTTGCTTGAAAAATTGTTCCAAAATGAAATTTGAATCCACATCTTTTTTATCCCTGAATTCAATGCTGTTCGGCGAGTCTCAAATAAAAATTTGGGCGTCTTATTACGGTAAAAAAAAATATACCAATAATGTAAAAAAGAAACTCCAAAATAAATTATGTTCACACCCAGAATCGAAAACAGGTCTACTGCATGAGTCAGACATCTTACTAGGTGAGCTAAAGTGCCAGTAACATTTAATGTATCTGTAACTTTTATATCCTTCATGACAGCTGAAACAACATCAATCCAAAGAACGATTCGGAGCGAAATGGCTATTTTGTTGCTAATTTGCAGGAAATATCTAGAAGAAAGTTCTATAGAAAGTAGCTAAGGGTCCCCAGAAATGTAGCTAGGTTTGTCGACTAGGCGTTAGGAACAGCGACAAAGTCGCTGAGTTGGCACTGCCTCACTCTCTGCTGCTAAAGCTACTGATAGCAAAAGCTACGGGCTATGCCTGAGCGTGAACGCGCATGAAGCAGCCTGCTCGACCCGAGCAGCTCTCTTTTTCTGTGATTTTACAGAAAAACAGGCAATCTCAGTAAAAATGCCAGGACTCATTCTACAGGACCAGGGCAATTTATTATTTCTATACATGTTTTGGCTGTCAAACTTCCTTATAGTACCTTTAATGCTATTGAGTTCACAGACCAGCAAAATTTGTACTTTTCAGCTTCAGATCAGCTTATGACCAAATAAACAAACTGTGCTCAATACTGGGCCACTCTGATCAGCTGATGATTCCTTATTTAGCACATCTGTATAATTTATGCTTTTGATTATTTGACTGAACGTTCAAATTTACCAATTTCTTTCAAAACTGGATATGAAAATGCATAATCTTAATGATCTTCAAGCAGCTGTTTTGGATTTATTTTAACTTGGGGCTTTTTAGATTTAACATTTGAATTACTACACAAATAAAACATACATCTGAAAAATGTATCAATAGATTCTAAATTATGAAAAGTAAATAATAGATTTAGAAAAATGTATGTATTTTTATAAAAATATATCTCTACAGGCATCTACCTGATAACCGAGGTCAGCGCAGATTGTGTGTGTGTGTGTGTGTGTGTGTGTGTTTTCATGTACATCTAGGTACATTGTAGCTCATCTACCTGCAGTATCATAATGATGCTGCATGTTTGCTAAGGATCCAGAGCTGTAAGGACAAATCCCTACACACATACCTACCTCCAAGGCTAAAAACAGAACTAATCACTCCAGCAGTCAACTCCCTCTTAGTGCTGACCCCTTTCTGTGTGCTCCCTCTGCCTCAGACTATTAGGACTTTTCTCCACCATTACCCCTTATTTCATCCTCTCACCTATTTTACTTTTTTCATTTCGTGTCTCTCACTCTCCCCGTCTCATCTCTTGCTATCATTTCACATCTTCTCTTCAAACCACAAAAAGATGAGGATGTTGTCTGGTAGTCGCAGCTGAACATGCAGGCAGAGAAATGTGAAAAACGTATTATTTAAGCTTCTTATATTAGAAATGGAAGGGGCGGAGCTTGTCGGAGAACCTTAAATGATGTAAGAGAACTAAACAAGCTGAGTGAAATGATCAGAAAGCGGGATTGTGATGGCAGTCCAGGTAGAGGAGGAAAAGAAAGTGAGAGCAGAGCGAGACGACGGAGGGCAGAATGCATCACAAGTTACAAATGCATTATGGGATGTAGCTGTGTTTGGAAACAGGGGAGGAAAAAAAAAGGCGCCTGCTTTCCTTCTCCCTTTTCATGCAATTATGATGGTCATGAGGGGGTGGGTATCAATCTTTCTGCTCATGTGAGGTGCAACAACAACAAAAAAATGGGGGAGCTATCGACCATGGGGGTTTTGTTGTGTGAGAAACAGAGGGGGGCGGGGCTTTCAGTCGAGGGTCATCAATCATCGGTCAGGGTCAAAAAGAAATACGAATGATTCAGAACCAATTATATCCACCGTCCCTGCATCCCCCTCACTGCCACACACACACACACACACACACACACACACACACACACACACACACACACACACACACACACACACACACACACACACACACACAGGTCAGCTGGTGCAGCAAGGTCATAATCAGGCTGACATTCCCAGTTCTGGTCAACTTTTGTCTCTTTGTTGTCGGGATGACGTCATCAGCTCCCTGGATGAACAGCCAAGTTGCTCGTTTCTCTTAATTGTTGCTTTTTTCTGAGACACACGTAAAATCTCAGCGGTTAGCATTTTTTTTCTTGATTCCCTCTTCATTGCTGAGAAAATGATCCATCTTAAATCCACCGTAAATGAAAAATGTTATCATTAGTATAAACTGTTTTAATTATAATAAAAAGAAACTAAAATTTAAAATGCTAGATTTCTTTGACCTTTAAAATGATGAACGCATTTCCACATCATAACAGATCACACTGCTGAACCTGCGTTTTCAAACATTTACATGCAGCCTTGTTTTCTGACCATAATTTTCAAATGATTCCAGACAAGTCTGCAGATACAGATATGGATTTAAACAGGATTCTAAATGAGGAATTAGCAGTAATGGACACATGGATGACAAGAAATGAATTAGTTTTGAATAAGAAAAAAACAAAGTGTATTATTTTAGGATCTAAATTATTCCTTAAAAGAAAACTGAAGGTTAGTGCTGATGGTAGGTGACAAAAAAATAGAGCAAGTCACGGATGTTAATTTATTGGGGGTAATAGTAGATAACCAAATGTCATGGAAAAATCATGTCGACCAGGTATTGATGAAAATGGGAAGAGGGATTGCTGCAGTTAGATACTGTAGGAAGTCTATGTCTAATCAACTGTTAAGACAGGTAGTCCAAGCTTTAGTATTGGCATATCTGGATTTTGGTTCTGTAGTCTGGTCGAGTACATCGATGG